ACATGGGAAAGACGAATCTCATAGAGTCCTCAATACTCACCGGCAGAGCAGACTGCTAGAGAATGGCGCAAGAGACCAGTCAGTGTTTGGGTTGCAGAGAAAAATAAGTTGAGATGCAGGTGTTCCCTATGGTAAAAAGCCCACTTTTTGCTTTGATGCAGGAGTATAGAATACACGATAATGTTCATGATGCTGACAATAATGTGGAGGAGGAGGAGGAGCAAACAGGGGAGGAGGAGGAGGGAGACGATGACAAAGAGGTGGAGGACGGGGAGGAAGATGATGACGGAGAGGTGGAGGAGGAGGAGGAAGATGATGACAGAGAGGTGGAGTAGGAGGAAGATGATGACATGGAGGTGGAGGAGGAAGATAACAAGGACGAGGAAGAAGAAGAGGATGAGGAGGAAGATCAGGAAGAAGAAGAGGAGGAGGAGGAAGGGGAGGAAGGGGAGTGTGGCATACTGCACAGTATTGTTTTGTTTTCCCCAGATTTTTTCGAATGCTCTTAAATATTGACATGGGAGAAAGTCCGAGAAACATTCGGACCCAGTCCAGAATGTCTGGCGTCCAGTGTCTGGAACGCTCCAGTGTCTGGCTCCATGATACCGTCTTCAATCGAATAGAACATACGATCATTGTCTCCGTATGTAGACTGCAAATTGCCCAAAATATAGCCATAACTAGCCTATAACGATCTTGCGTTCTATTCGGGTGAAGAAGGTAGCCATGGTACCAAAATAACTGCCGACTCAGTATCGATGAGTACTATCAATGCAACACGTGACGTCAGTTGGTGTTCCATGATCGAAACAGAAATCAATGACATGCAAAGTGACCAAAAACAGAAAAGCCGCAACAACACGTGACGTCAGTCGGTGTTCCATTATCGAAACAGAAATCAATGATATCCACAAGTGACTGAAAACAGAAAAGGACACAAACTCGTTAAAAGATGGAACCAAGCATGGAGCGCAGTGTCCAGGAGAATGTGTAGATACTAGAAAGTAAGAAAGAAGGAGTCATATTAATTATGTGCCTAGGTACTACCTTGGGATTCGCTAGCAAGACCTCCAGCATTTCCAGTTTTCCAGTCCTCAAGATCTCCTTAATCTGAATGCCCATGAGGGAAACCAAAACAGGGAAAAAGACACACACACCACACTCAAACACACACACACATAACACACAACAGTGAAACACACACACATGCACAACAGTCACACACACACACACACACACACACACACACACACACACACACACACACACACACACAACAGTACTAATCAAACATCAGAAAAATGTGCACGTCCGTAAGCTGAAGCTGAATGATACATACCCATAATGCATTGCGAGTTTAAACTCTGTTGTGTTCAACAATAACAACAAAGACATGGCGGGTTTTCATCCGGATGTTTCCCTATGGTTGGATGATTATCACCATTTCATCCGGCCAGAATCAACCCCTGCTTTTAGAAAAAAAATCCCAATATACATAAATGACCTCCCGAGGCAGAGAGAGGTCTGGTAACACTGTTTTTGGGCAGCGCGGGAGGGGCAAATCCAAGCCTCTGTGCTAGTGGTGGTTCAACGCCCCATAATCTCTCTCTCTCTCTCTCTCTCTCTCTCTCTCTCTCTCTCTCTCTCTCTCTCTCTCTCTCTCTCTCTCTCTCTCTCTCTCTCTCTCTCTCTCTCTGCGTGCGTGCGTGCGTGTGTGCGTTCGTGCGTGCGTATGTGCGTGGGTGTGTGTGTGTGTGTGTGTGTGTGTGTGTGTGTGTGTGTGTGTGTGTGTGATAGCAAGGTCTCATGTCCCAGCAAAATGGTTGACTTCTTCGTAGAATATGGGGATTTCAATCCTGAGAATAACAACAAATTAACAATTTGACACCCAAAATAAAAGGAAAAACTTTCACCAAAAACAATTTAAAAGTTAAAACATCATGATAGAGGTCAATCAGTATCCATGCAAGGAATCCGTCTGTTATCTCTTGCTGGAGTGCGCCAGATATCATACATTCACACACATTGCACAGAATCGCAATAGCTCACACAAAGCTTCAATGAGAGATGAACAAGACCAAGGAACTCAGCTCAATTATATTAATCAGATTAAGAGAGTTTTTCACAAGTTCAAGATGAACAGCGCCGAACAGGCTCACAAGTCTTCTGCCCTCATCAGAGCATGGCGCTTAACAGGTAAGTGTCACCAAAGCTTTCACTCCCCTCTCTCCTTCCTCTCTCTCTCTCTCTCTGTATGTCTTCTCTCTCTCCCTTTGTCCCATTGCAGTAGCCCTGGTCTTCCTTCTACTCACACATCATCTACGCACACTCCCTAACACATGAGGATCTACTCTGAATACCACTCACTGATGTACTAACTCTATCATTTCTACTACTAACACAGGCTGGCGCAGCTATGGCTGCTTCAGCAAGCCAGCGCCCAGCATCTCTCTCCCTTGCGCAGCATCAAGCCAGCGCTCTCCCTCTGCATGCTAGCGCACAAGTGCCTTCAGCACTTCCACGCATCAATGCCACTGGAGATCTGTCATGTGGGAGGATGGTCTGCTCCTTCATACTAATGGCATGGCCTTGCGAGGCCTGAATCAGCCTCCCTTAAGACTCTTTTCCCTGTCCCAGGCTGTGTAGAGTGTGTCCCAGTACCTTTCCCTCAAGGTCTGCTGCTGCTGCGGCCTTCAGGCCTGAATTTCGGACTTGGGGCCTGTATCTAGACTCTCCCTCTGGCTTAATTCGTGACTGGGACTTAACCTTTTGACTTCTGTTTGAAGAGGCACACCTACAGCCCGAACAGACACACATTCTGTACGAACAGACACATCTCCTACATGAACAGACATGACTTGCACAGCCCCTGGATGAACAGACGTGATTCCTATATCTGAATATTGCAACTGTTCGTCCAGGGGCACAGCTGTGACCTTTGATATTGACTTTTACTTAGTTAAGATGTGACTTTTGACGCAGAGAACATGTCCGTTGATCTGCTTTCACGAGTTGGGCCCTGGGCGAGTGACCCCACTATGCTGCATTCGTCAAACAGGGTCTGAATCGGGTAAAGGCCCTTTTATCCATATCAGACAATGACTTATCACAATCACAATGTTATACAAATGGAATGCCGTAAAGTTCGGCGTAAAGTTGATTACTGCTGATCATGCAGGAAGCAAAGATAACACTGGAAGAGAGAGAACTTAGAAAGAAACTACGGAAGTTGAGAGTCTGCGCACAAAATAGAAAAATAGCGTTGTTCAAACTTCCAGGGACAAACAAGAGTGTTCCGTGTCAGGAGAGAATTCCAGGGTAATGCAAATGGCCGTTCCCATTTCCCTTTCTATAAAGCAATCGATCAATCGCAAAGCACATCCCAGTCAATCGAACAATGACAATGATAATAATAATAATAATGCAGATCGTGAAGTAATGAAAAATATAAAAGTATTTTATAAATAATATACAAAGGCCCTACATACACCACGCTCATTCACAGCGTGCACATGCGTAACTGTTGATGAACTGATCAACAGTTCAAATCTTATTGGAATGTTAGGACCTAGTGGCCGCTAACCCCCTGTTCAGAAGAAAAAAAAGAAGAAGAAAGAAAAAGGACCCCACATACGAAACATCTCCTCTAGAGGGAGTTCGTAAGAAGGTCATGCTGCTGGCCCATTTGCTCATAAGCACCTTCACTCTCGTGCTCTGGCCGATCCCCTCCATTTTATCCAATTGGCTGGCAGACGTCACTTTGTACGAAAGCTTGTCAATCTCACTTGCCACTTTCCGATATATCAACGCACGATTCCCATCATCCAGCACTGCACAACACAAAAGAACAAAAAGGAAAAACAAAACATTTTAACATGCCAACTGGTCATTATCAGGCATGTTGTCAAAAGAACTGGAAACCGCGCAATTGCAACAAACCGCGTTCAAAATTCAAATCCCGCAACGCAAACAGCCTTCTGAAGTCTGAGTCAAAGTGGACGGCACAAACAGGTCTGTAGTGCCCCAGAGCTTGTCAAAACCTACCCTCAGTCCGCTAGAACATGGTCCAGCACATGCTTCCGTCAAGGTCAAAGGTGTTTAGGAAGTGCTCTCCAGGAAACCCCTGCAGAGTCAGACAAAGGGGATAGAACTAGCACTGCAGAAAGGCTAAAATGGGGCATAAGCTTTGGCCAGTCTCCGTCTGAGTTCTGGGGTCAAAAGTCGCTGTCTATGGCCAGAAGAAGTCTGAGACATCCATCAGGTAAATAGGTCCGACGTGCCAAGGCAGGCCCTACCCAGGCAGAGCAGACCAAGAGTGGAAGATTTTCCCAGAAGTCAAACTCGACGACAGATCACACAGCAATCAAAGGCTCACTACAGTTTCTGGAAGCGTCCAGAGTCGCTTGGACCAGGCATACACAGGCCACAACAAAATCCTGGCCGTACAGATGAAGAAATATCAGCCGTTCGAAGAGGCAACCTGAGGCAGGCCAGACCGAGTCAACACTACAAAAAGATGGCTCTGCCTCAGTTCGGGCATTCATTTTCAGCCTGGCAAGCTGATGCCGATTCTTGCACACTGAAGGAGACGTCATTGCGCCAGGCAGAAGTGGTGAGAGGCAGAGGCAGCCCTAGCTGTAGCAGAGGATGTCTGCGGCCATAGCTGTCGCGGACGCTGCCTAAAGAGGAAGGAAGGCTGCTGCCTCCATCGCTAATCAGAGACAGTGATAGCTGTGGAAAAGGATGCCTGTCGAGGAAAGGAGACTGCTGCCTCCACAGATATTGACTGTGAGAGGTGTTGAGGAAGGAGGGATGGAGGTGAGATCGGGTATGCGCGGGAGAGTGATGCTTACCTGGTGTCTTCGTGCTGACACTCTCTGCATTATCGTTGACTTCATTGCTGCTCAAAATATTCTCCATTTTCCTTTCCCGCCTGATTACCTTTGCACTTGCTTTAAGGAAGCCACGCTTCAGAGATTACGTGACTAAGACATTATGCTGAGGTGTGGCGAATCAGAAACAGTGTTGAACACATCAGATGGCAAGAAGAAGAACTGAGAATCTTAAACATATACGCCCCCCATGCAGAATGCAAACGACTAGAGTTCTTCACCGACATCAGAGCGATCATCCCAACCCCTCTACCAGTAATCATAGCAGGGGACTGGAACACTACCTTAGACCCTAACCTTGACCGTATCTCTCGCTCCTTGCTGATGGGGCCCACACGGGCAGGAACCCAGATTCGAAACATCATGACAGAATTCGAACGAATCGACCCGTTCAGAACACTCCATCCCCTAACGAGAGCGTTTTTCTTTGTCAAAAGAAACAGATCCAACCATACTTCCCTATCACGGATCGACTTCTTCCTGATTTCCGAACTCCTTCAAGGCACAATTAAGGAGGCCGAAATCCTACCCGCATTTGCCTTTAAACTTTAAAGGGATGGACCATAAACCCATACACCTGCTCCTCAACTTAACGCCCCGGTGGAAAGAGGACATGGCTTCTACAGACTGAATAACTCCCTTCTCTCCACAGACCGTCTAACAGAGGCAGTTAAATGGAATTGGCTATTCATGCGACAAGAAGTCGTAAGACAGTGTGACAGACACCAATGGTCCATAGACAGTTACTCAGACCTGGCACAGACGGTGTGGCCTGAAGCAAGAAGCATAGCGGCTGAACGCAAAATCAGAAAGGAAGAACTTCAAATTGCTATCACGATTGCAGAGGCTAATCTCACATCAGACCCCACCAATGTGTTCTACTACGACCTACTCAAATCCTCCAAGGAAGAGCTTAACGACTGGAGGAGATAGGGACTAAGAGGCCTACAAATACAAGCCAGGATGACTGACTACGCTCTGAACGAATCTATGACTAAGTTCTTCCTCGCCAAAATAAAAGCCAATGCTAGGAACAACACGATCGAGAAGCTGAAAGACCCATCAGATCAGGGCAGAACAAAAACAGTTGGCTTAGACATGGCAAGGATTGCCAGATCCTTCTATGCAGCCCTCTACGAATCCAAAACACCCTCACCCCCATCCACGATAAACATAACAGCCCGTCAGCAAATGATGTCTTACCTAGACAGGACGATCTCATCAGAATAGTCAGAGGGCTTGGAAAAACCAATCACCCTAGGGGAACTCCAAGCGGTTTTATCGCAGATGGGAAACGACAAGGCACCAGGGATCGATGGACTCTCCAAAGAGTTTTGGGTTCAGTTTTGGCCTATCCTAGGGAATGACCTCCTCAATTTTATCAACGACAGCAAAGCGAAGGGAGGGTTGGGCTCATTCCTAAGCACCAGTGTGGTCTCGTTACTACAGACCAATTTCACTTTTCACAACCCTCTACAAAATATTGGCGAAAGCACTAGCTAACAGGATCATAAAGCTCACCGACCAGTGCTTTCACATCGATCAAGCAGGGTTCATTCCAGGTAGACACATACTAGATAATGTGATGACCCTGAATGAGGCAGCAAGGAAGGCTACTGAAAAACGAATGCAGGCGGCCATTTTATTCTTCGATTTCGAAAAAGCCTACGATCAAGTGAATTGGGATTTTCTCCAGAACTGCATGGAAAAGATGCGAGTGGGCCCAAATTTCAAAGAATGGGTCAGAGTTCTATACGGTGACGCCACGGGCAGAGTCCAAATAAACAGGATAGTGTCAGACGCCGATCCGATATCAAGGTCCGTCCGTCAAGGTGACCCACTAGCTCCCCCCATCTTCCTGTTCATCATGGAGGCCATCACCTCCTTCCTCCGCAAAGACCCTTTTATAGACCGCCTTGCCACGCAGAACTACGAACCCCTTCACGACTTCACTCTACCAACAACGCTGATGTTCGCCGATGATCTAACAGTCCTCGTTCGTGCCAACAACTCCTCGTTCCAAGCCCTCGTCAAAGTCATGGAAGCCTTTCGACTAGCATCGGAAATGAAGGTAAATTGGTCCAAAACCGAAGGTCGGTGGTTCGCAGACAGCACCCCTCCCCAACCTCCTGATCTATCCACCCCCATGTCATGGTCCACAGGCGACCAAGCACTTGGATACCTGGGAATCATGGTCAACAAGGACGGCACATGGCCAGGGATGGGCCAAACCTTGATCGCAAAGGCAATAGCCCGCCTAGCCCCGTGTAAGAGAGCCCAGGCATCCCTGTTTGGCAGAGCACTTATTATAAACAGGTCAAAATTCTCCACGCTATGGTACATGGCCTCCATTTGTTCCCCCCCTGACGAAGAAGTCAAGACTCTCAAGGCGCAGGTCGGATGTTATTTATGGACGGGCAGCCCCAACAAAACTACCTGCATAAACAAGGTTTCCCGGCAAATTGTCATTAGGAAACCGCAAGAAGGAGGACTGGGGATCATGGACCCTAGACAGGAAACTATCGCCTTGCAAATGAAATGTATAATTAAGATTCTCACCAAACAATTCTTCCCATGGATGAAATTGGCCTTGGACAGTATAAGGAACCTCGCTCCAATAAGCTCCCTATCCAATATGCAAGGCCCCTTCTGGATTATGGCCAAAGAATGGTCAATCAAAACAGGGAGGACAGCAAGAAGAACCCAACAGCAACCAACCAGTCAACCCATCCCCTCGCCTAACCCATACTGGACGCCAACTCTGAAAGCTTGGCGCCGAATGATGCCCAACAAACACGGGGCACCAGACAACCAAGAAGAGGTTCTCAAACAACCCCTCTTCTGCAACCCCTGGATCAAAGACACAGCAGGTCACCCTTGGTCCCTCTACGCGAGAGATAGGAGATTGCCCACATGGGTGGAGAGAGGAGTATGGCAGCTCAAACACCTATGGTCAGCGGAACGGAAGGACTGGTTGACAGCCCAGGAACTCGGAACCTCCCTCAGGGGATGCCACGCGCTTGAAACCAACTTAGCAGCGATGCATCACATCATCCCTGCCCAGTGGGTAATGCTCCTCAAAGAAAACTTTACTTGGAAAACAGGCGGTTGGGGCATACTTATTACGCACACTCCGCCTCAGAAGGCCTACCAGTTCGTATCTAGATCAGACTCTTCAAGCTACCGATCGAACTTCTTATCCTACCCTATCGCCAACCATACCCTTCAGGAGCTCGTAATCCAGAATGAGGACCCCAAGCTACGCGACTAGAAACCTTCCTCCTCAGGAAGGTCCGAGTCTCCCAGAACAGACCATGGGTCATATGCCAGCCATAACTCAGTATCAAAGACCTGGAATTCGACCCCAAGGAATGGAGGTGGAAACAGGACACCATAGGGAAGTCTAGAACAATCTCCCAATACGATGCAAGATTCGGCTATGACCTCGGACTACAGACCACAGATCCAAATCCAAGGTTGGTAGAGAGAAATGGCTGGCCAGCTTGAATCTGGCCCGCCGGCCCAATTCTCCATACCGTGGGTCAAATACCTTCTTATCATACCAGTTAGAATTCGAAGTATGCAATGGCTCCTTGCACACTTAGCCCTCCCGGTCAACCAATGGCTTCACAAAAGAAGGAAACACTCAGACCCGAACAGCTCGGAAATCTGCGCGATGTGCAACAAAAACACGCCTGAAGATATCCCACACTGCCTACTCTTCTGTCCTGAAGCGACCTGGTACTGGAACAAAGGTCAGAAACTATGATCTAACCTCTTCTCAGCCCCACCCCCCAACACTTCCCCCCTAACCATTCTACTCCTCCCGAACACTCCTGGGCACCTCAAGGGCAGCAGGGATGTCTGGTTCTAGTTACTCAGAAAGTTAACTTTGTGGATCATATGGAAACGACGATGCACACAGACAATTCAGGGAGCAGAGGTGGCAAAGAAAGAAATGTGGACTCTCTTGATACACATGGCGGAGACCGAAATCCGGAGCAGATGGCGGACGATATCTTCATCAGGGAAACACAGACCATCCACTCGTGGTTAAGCATGCAGCTAAGAGACGAGCATTCCTAAAGGACTGGCTAATAAAGGGCAAGGTGGCCACCATAACGGACAACAGACTGATATGGAAGAAGTCGTATCAAGGGTAACGGAAAGGCGACAACCGAACTTGGGAGTCCAAGACCGAAGATCAGTACGACAGGCACAGGAACAAGCAGGTCGATAAACAGGGTGTGAGAAAGCCAAACGTGCACGAACGTCAGCAAAACCTCTCACTTCTCTAGTTTGTTAGAGGAATATCTGGCAGGCCTATACAGCAGCCTGAGAGGAACGAGTTGAGAGGGCACGCTGACAGTCAATCCTCCTACAAGGGAGTAATCAATGCTGGTCAGGGATCCTTCGGCCTGATGGAAGGAAGCGTGAGTGTGTATTACATGTAAATCCTTTGACTTGCCGGGGGAATAGGAACCGGACTGGCGCTCCCCAGAATGAAAAGGAGCCAGGACCATAAGGACTTGTTTTGAAAAAAAAAGAAAAGAAAAAAAGAAACAGTGTTGAGCATCTTCTGGAGAGCGGAAGGGAGAGAAGTAGGAGAGCCTGGAAGTAGAAGAGGGAGAGGAATGAGTTCGTAACCTTTGATAATTTGATGAAATTATCCTTATTCTCCTGCCTTTCATCTTTTTATTCTTCCTGTTGTTGTCTATTTTGCTTACAACGCATTGAGTTTTGCATGCGATGTCCTGAAGAGGTGCGCGCTGAGACTGTTGGGTTTGTTGAACGATAATCGAAAAAAAAAAAAAAAAAAAAAAAAAAAAAAAAAAAAAAAAAAAAAAAAAAAACCAAACAAGTGTGGCAGTGTATATTTCCATGTTCTAGCGGTAGATTCATTCAATTTTCCTCATCCTATGGATGGAAGTACCATGAGGGAAGCCGCGAGGTTGGAGACATACTCTCTCTCTCTCTCTCTCTCTCTCTCTCTCTCTCTCTCTCTCTCTCTCTCTC